TGCCGGCTGGGCTTAAACCACGACAAACACTATCCCTGCAACACAGCTCCTCTGGCAAAGCTCATTAGGTCATGGCTCTTCTTCAACACAAAACTCTCATTTATGACCAGAAAAGATCACCAAGTCACCCAGTCCCATCCATCTGTAACTTAATATTTTGAACAACTTGCATTTGGCTAAAGCATTTCCCAGGAAGGTCTGTATGTGAAACTGTGTTTGTTTTAATCTTAATCTCTATTTTGGGAACAGAGAATTCCGCATCCTGGTTCCAGCCCATTTCTTCCTATGACTTTCTCCAGTCAGTTAGAAAGTCTTTTTATAACATTACTTTTTAAAATCAAGGACCTATTAGTGAGAAAAAGTTTCTTAATGCTAAGAGAGAAGCCATATTGGGAAAGATGACCCAGTGGTGAACTATATCAATAACTGATGCCACTCAGCTTTGGTTTAAATTTAAGGGTTTGATTGATTCTTCCACACATATACCCTCCCCCTGTGGATGAGAAAGAAAGCTTTTTGATGCTACCATCAGTTCCAGTATTTGCATACCACCCAACAAAAGCTGTGTTTATTTGGAAGGAAGTGGAAAAGGAAGTTATTTTTGTGATCTAACCTAATGAGTTGCCCAGCATGACAACACATCCTGCCCCAGCTCACTCTTGGAGAAAGATGAGGCATATCTCCTTTCCCGTAAATCTTCCAGTGTTTAGAAGTGACAAATTACCCCATCACATCTCTTACCTGGCTCAGTATTCCCAGTTGCCAACACTATCAAGAAAATATAAGGAGTTCTTTTTAAAGACACTTACAAATTCTTGAGCACCACGGTAGAAGATGGAGACACTTCTGACTGCATGCCCAAAGTTATCATAGACATTCACATAGGGGCGGACCCATGAAGGCAGCTTGCCTCTCACATTTCCAGTTGAGAACCTGTGTAAGATTGGAAAAGAGGAGAATTATTTGTCACAATGGCCTAAGGGAATTAAACAAATGCTTTATCAGTGTCCAAAAGGACAAGGGATGAGCAGCAAGACAGTAAGAGATTGAAACAGTGAAGTAAATACAACGGGGTGATGAGTTCACTCAAGAGAAAAGGGCTTTGTTGATACCACAAAATCGTTAGGGCTGGAAAGGACCTTAAGATCATCCAGTTCCAACCCCCTGCCATGGGCAGGGACACCTTCCACTAGAGCAGGTTGCTCAAGGCCCTGTCCAACTATGTGCCCACTGTCCCAAGCTGAGCTTCAGCATTGAAGGCAATCAATTAAACTCCTCTTGCCTATTACATGCATACTATATTAGTTGATATTAATGGATATAAACGCAATAGAACATTACTATATTGATATCTAGTTTCGGTAATACAATCTTTTCTCCTCACAAAACACTACAGTGCTGGTGACTGCCTTCTGAATTGAGAGATGGAGAAAATGCAAACCTGTAAGTTATTATCCATAATTTCCAGCAGTATTACAAACAGGAATTCAACAAATTGGCTTATTCTACTTAATACCATTAATCTACTTAATACCATTCTACTTAATACCATTAATCTCTTCCTGCAGCTCCAAAACCAGTATATTTTGGGAGCAGAAGATCACAATCTCATTACTTTCCTCAAGTAGTGCAGTATTGATATAGCCCATTATATAAAATAATTGAATTACTTATGAACTGTAGCCTTCTCCAAACAGTAACATCAGCATGTTTACACAGAAGATAAAGGATAAATAAAGCGATATAAAGATGTTGATGTATGTTTATGTTCTAGAGCCCAGGTTTCACCTTTGGTCACAAAGGAAGATAGCACCATAGTCCTGGCGATGTCTGATGACCCTGCCAATAGCCTGGTTAACAGCCCGGGAAGCTTGCTGGTTGTACCACTCCCGCCCAGATAGATACTGCAATAGGTGGGAGGAAGAATTAACATTCATTATCAGGTAAAATTTATTCTCTCTGCTGTACAGTCACTATTTCTAAAGAAATAATAAATCATACCCAGCAAGATCTACCGACAAATCTCCGAAAGCCGAGGAAATCCAAAACCAGTTTGACTTATGGTGCACAAAACCCTCAAACATAGAATTAGAGATAGTTTGAGCTGAAAGGGAGCTTAAAGCTCCTCCAGCTCCAACCCCTGCCACGGGCAGGGACACCTTCCACTAGAGCAGGTTGCTCCAAGCCCCTGTGTCCAACCTGGCCTTGAACACTGCCAGGGATGGGGCAGCCACAGCTTCTCTGGGCACCCTGTGCCAGCGCCTCAGCACCCTCACAGGGAAGAGCTTCTGCCTCAGAGCTCATCTCAATCTCCCTTCTGGCAGGTTAAAGCCATTCCCCCTTGTCCTGTCCCTACATGCTCTTGAATATAAACGTATATATCATTTATAACCAGCCAGCACAGGCAATTCCTCCTGCCCACTTTCTGGATGAAATAATTCCCTCCAGAAGATGGATGGATAATACATATACAAAGAGTTTGACTGAAATTTTAACTATACCAGGTTTTGAGCCTCTATTTGATTGACACCATGCCACTGGATAGAGAATTCAGAACCCTTAACACTATCTAACTAAAAGTGACTGTATTTGTGACAACCTGCCACAGTTCTTTGACTTTTTGATATTCATAGTCCCACCAGGCTGGGACCCAAAAAGCCAAAACCCATGGAGACAAGAGGGAGAAACAATGACACAAAGCTGCAAACAGGCAACAGTGAAATGCTTCCCAGTATTACCTGTGAACCTGCCCCACTTCTTCTCATCTCATCCAGAAACTGCATCTTCAAAATGACCCTGGGCTCCATACGAGGAGGAAACGGGAGCCCGGTAATGATGACTCCTCGGCCATTTCTGTCTGCAAAATCCAAGCCCTCGCTGGCCTGAGGAGACAGTGTTTCCCATTATCAACAGGATTTGAAGCGACATTTCAGAGCAGTTCAGCAGTTATTGGCCTTTTTCCTCCATTAAATTAAACCCCTAGCCAAGCGTAGCATATGAATATGACATGCGTAGCTGCAACTAGACTTTCTCCTTTTAATATCAGGACTTTAAACTTTTTTCCTCCAGGAGGCCCTGACAAAGCATATTCTTGGCCAACATCATCAATGAACAGCTGTATTCAGATGTCTGAAATGCCAGTCAATACCTCTGTTTAAACCTTCCATAGCCTGAATTGTTAACAAGACATGATAAGAACATGATAAAACCTTCTCTGACATTAAAAACGAACAGAATCATTTCAAAGCAATAATGGAAAGCTACCAGAAATCTGGCTGAGAAGTGAGCTAGTTTTAGAGCTTTTGACAACGTGGGTCTTTTGGTTTATCTTCTCAAACAGTTCCAATTTTGTAGTCATACAATTAACTCTTTGATCTCAACAAGCTAAACAGTCTGTCCTTCAACTGCACGTTACTGCAAAGCATGATGTCTCCACAGACCTTATTCTCTAAGGGTAATACACTGCTGTTGGAAGGATGGGAACATTCACCTAAGAGTGCCACCACTAAGAGCTCTGTCTTTCCTTCACCGATCCGACAGCCACTTTGGAGACTGGGACTGAAGGTTCAAAGGAAATTGAATCTTCTCTTGGTAGGCAGTAAGCAGCAGCAAAAGGCTTTAAGAGTAATCTGTGGTTTTGCAAATATTCCCACTGCTAATCATAAATCCATTTATCAGCACCGGAAAGTGTAAATGAAAAGCCAAATGGACCTGAAGTTAATGTAAATGTTTTAAAGCCAAGCAATATTTCTGGTTTTCAGCAGTGTTGTTCTAACATGTTTAATTACAAATGTTCTCCTCCTAAACAGTTCTTCTCATCTAATGGGCTGAGTTTTTGGTGAGCAGCCAACAGGAAATGTAAGTATGATGATGCTCATCCCTTTAAGGAACTCAAAGACATATTCCTTTAATAAAAACAGGAATGAGGCATATATAAACTTGATATATGCCTCAAGGCTTTGGGGCATTTTACTTCTTTTAGTTTTATCTCCCCACATCTAACTACAGGCAAGTAACAGAAATGTACGGAAATCCAGATTGATGATTTTTTCCCCCATCAGCTATATAATCTGAACTTAGATGAAACATGTTCTCAGTTACATTACCTTCCCCCGACATACTGCCAAAAAAGCAGCCCCATTGGACTTGGGACAGACAACTTTATTATAGTAGGCATCTATTACCTAAAAGGTAAACAAGTTTAAGCAAGAGCAGGAACATTATTATCCTTTGCGTAAGAAGAGAGCTATTGGCTAAATTTGACTTGTACACTAAGATGTAAAATATGATTAATTTGGCTTAGCATCATTTTCTTTACTTTGACTAATCGCAAATGTGAGAAGCCGTTTGCTTAGCAAAACCATTACTGTGAAACCCAGAACACATCTGGGTAAACATAAGAGATTCATGTCAGATTCTTCTGATAAAAAGGTAAAACAGGGACTGTTGTGTGGTTCTGCAGATCCTTGAGTAAAACAGCAAACTAGGAAAGAAATCCAAGGATATTATTTACTCTAAGAAGCAAAGAGAATGGTTATAAATAAACAAGAGGACACTGCACAGTTCCTTAGGACATAAAGCACAACAAGCTGGGAGGAAACGTTCTGCAGGACATTAAGAGATTCTGACTGGTGAAGTGACACTAGGATCCTAGTTTTTTAGTTACTGTTATCCTAGGATAACAATTTGTCCTAAGATCAAGTTTATCCTAGGATAAAATTTGGATGTTTTAAACCCAAACACATCTTAGAGAAGGCATTTAAACATAAAAAGTTTCTGAAAATGTTACAGGTATGTAATGCAAATAATCCACCTCTGAAAAGCTTCCTTTGTTCCTGGGCTCCACAAACATTGGCTTCACTTCTTCTATTCTGTTAGCAAAATCATGCTCCTGTTAAACAGACCATGAACACATCAGAAAGAGTCATGTGAAAGTAAGCACATATCAGATGAGACAACATATTAAGATCCTTCTGGGTTTGGTTGCCACAACACTGCATTTCAATGTACTGTGATCAAAATAAGTCTGAGTTTTCATTTCCAGAGTTTATAATTTACTTATTAACAAAGTATTTTTAATGAGTACGATTAGACAGCACAAGGACAAACTGCCTGACCTATGTAACCAAACACCTAATAAAGGCAGAGCAATGAGCATACTCTCCAATATTCCAGGCTCTTATCCATGACAGGATAAGACGGGAAGAACACCAACAGTCCATCTGGTACAACTCGCACAAGGTTACCTGCAATGAGATAGACAAGTGAGTAGCTGAGGGCATTTCCATCCTGGGATGGAGTACACAGACTGCAGAGGCAAAACAACAGCATGGCTCTTTCCAAAATCTTTCCTACTTTCTTGACACCCATATTCATGTATTAGAAGTTGCTTTACATCTTTAAAATCAGTTCAATAATCTTGTCCTGAAGGTATAAACCTTAATACAGGTGCCTAACTAGCTTTCTAAAGGGCAGTGTTCACAGGATAAAAGATATTATGAGCTGCACCAAACACTACATCATCTGCCACATTGTCCCTTGTGTCAGCAGGATCTGTTTTTAGATCACTTTCTCCACAGAAGTCTGGACATTCAAAGCAATGAATGAGGTGCCACAAGACTGCTTTCAGGAGTTTTCTGGTCACATAGGATACACTTTTCTAGTCAAACAGACTTCGGGCGGGCTTGAGACAGCACCTTTAAGAACACCACAAGAAATCACACTGACTTCTTGTGACGCTCAAACGCCCCACAGAGGATGCCCGGCTGCATCATCTCCGTGCGCTGCTTTTCTAGCCTGCGCCACCTTCTGACCGCGTTTAGGAAACCCATTTTTACCCACACACAAACACCTGACAATGAAGATAACTCCTAATTTGGAAACATTAAGCCAAGGACTCAGACTCGTATTTGTACCCAATCAGAGCAGGCAGCTGCCTGGGCAAACAGAAGCACACAGAACCACAGAGCAGTCAGATACGCAATGCAATCCTTTACCTTCCTCTGTCTTACCAAGTCTTCTTTAGTATTTCTCCTCCTGGGACACTTCTAAAGTCCCATGCAACAACCCATTTGAAATCCACACACTCCACTTACCAACTGTTTTCCCCAGAGAAGATAAATAATCCTCTGAAAACCTACAAAGAAAAATCAAGTAACATAAATGTACTTCCTTTTCTATGCATTTCACACATATTGACACATACTGTGTGTTTCACACGTACTTCACACGTGATATTCATCTAAAACAGCAGATCCATGCTCCCAACTGCTCTCTTTCTTGTGGTAAGCACCCACAGTAAGGACACAAAATTTGTAAAACCTTGACTACATATAACTATTAAATACTCTTCCTAATAGCACTGTAGATGACCTAAGTTTCAATAGTATCAATCTGTAGCAAGTGAAAACGGGCAGCATCTGAGTTTTATGATTAATACTAACAAAGGCTCTGCCAAAAAAGTCTGGAGATGCTGCCAAGCCTGACTAACATTACAGCTGTTTAAATGAATTACTGCTGAATCAGGTGTGGTCAAGCTGCCAGGCAAAAAGAGTGAATCTGGTTATCATGGTTATTACTTACCTGTGGCACAAAGCAAATCACTCTTGGGTTGACCGAAAAAGTACTGTCCTACAATGAGCAGTACTTCTGTGCCTTCCAGCCCTGACTGACAACTCACCTGTACTCTCATGTCTTTGCGGTTCTTTCTGTCTAGCGCCTTGTATTCCAGGTACTGTTTTCCCTGGAAACTTACATATGCAGGGATAAATCCAAAGGTATTTATTTTTACAAGACCTAAAAATACCAGAATCACCACACAGACAGTGTCAAAACACAGCAAACACTGTGAATTCCCTTCCTGCAAAAAAGCAGGTGTTCTAAGCCCTAGAAGGGAGATCCCTAACCTTCTCCTTTCAAAAATAGACTGAAACAACACACTAAGCTTCTGTAAGTGAAAAATACAGTCTGAGGGGTTTCCAGACTACTTATTCTCTGTAAAATCAATTACTATTGCTGAGCCCTTTTCCAGTTCTGTGGAACATCTGGCATTCCCCTGCTCTGATTTGGTGTTTTTTCCCCAGTAAAAGCTCTTTGAGATCTATTTTTCTGTATTCCTAAAGATGAGTAAGTCATGTCTGCAGCAGGCTAAACCCTGGAATTCTTAGCCAGAGCTTTCTCTATGATGCTGAAATCGAGACAGACTGAAAAATGATCTGAAGAAAGTTAAATAGAAGAACACGTGTATCATACACAAGGAACTGATTCTCATTTCAAAACACTACAGAAGGATCACACCCCTAGACACGGTTCTAGCATCCCTGTGATACCTCTCTTTAGTAACTGCAGAGACGTGGCAAGCAAAGGACCTTCTGCCATGTGCACCAAAGCATGAAACTGACTTCTAAAATCGTATGCAGAGATGCCAATGAGATCATCATATTGCACAAGGAAGTCAATACACAATAAAGTCAAGTTTTGGCCTTCTTTGCTGGCACCAGAAGTACTGAAGACCAGAAAGACCCAAGCAAAATGAAGAAATACTAGAGAAAAGCAAGCAAAATGATGATGAAAGCTTGTTGACAAACATTTGGATATATTTTCCTTAAGGAAGCAACGCAGAGGTAAAAGAGAGTCTGGTTGTTAAGGACTTCAGTGCACTCTGTGCCCTGGCATTTAATCCCTTCCAGCCCTCCAGTTCTCAGTTCTTAACGCTAGTAGTTAAAGCGTGGCGTTACTCAGCACAGTGCTTATCCAGGAAGAGAACTACAGAGACCACTTATTTCACTAGCATCCTCCTGTAAGCAGAACCCAAAGTGTCAGAACTCAGAATTCCACGTGGAAGTTTATTACCTTCTTTCATAGGTAGAAGTCAGCACAGTTCCATCAGGTCCCTTAGAAATGATCCCAACCCAGAGCTGGTGTTTACCGATAACATGAGGATTCTCCAAGCGAACAGGAAAAGGGCTAAAGAAACACAGAAGTGACATCCCAGCCATACTCATCATGTGATTCCCTACGGTTTGTCAGTCCAGAACACTCACAAATCCACATATAAAATCTAAAATCATGAGAGCAGGTCATGCATTTCCAGTAATGGCCTGTTCACTCATCTAGGTACTTACATCTGCATTTCCATTGTAAATGATGAGAGGGGGGAGAGTGTCCCACTAGTAAGGATAATTGTCCTGACTCCTTGTCGAACAAGTTCATGCATGCTGTAGCCAGGGCTGAAACACCAGTAGCTTAAGGTCTTTTCTGTATCAAATAAGGAGAAAACACTAAGAAGCAAGTCTGTTAGTGGAAAAATTAGAATATGACTTTCAAATAGCATATTACATCTGAACTCCTGAAAGTAAACTGGCCAGCAGCTGAAGGCAAAGTTCCAGACACATGGTATGTTCTGCTTTGGTCCTTCTCAGATTTTACTGCTATGCCCATTCAAAACATAGTTTTAAAGGTCATTGCTGCCTTGCACCTGAAACAGATTATACTTCTAATCAAAGGATGGTTAAAGACAGACCATCACATCTCATTGTTGGCAAGTTACAGACGGGTTGAGCAGATAAAACTACTTGGTCCCCCATCCACTGATTCACTTCCCGCTGCCAGGGACAACTGAACGGGAAGCATGGTAGAAGAAGAGTAGAATACTGGGATGAAGGACAAATGACTGAAGTTAGTAAAATATATCTCTGATCCTGCTCTTGCTTGAGAAACCCCTTCTCCATCAGGAATTTCCAACAGCTATAAACCTTTCACCTAAACATTTCATTTTCTCCATAGTTAACTGGCAACGTTTCAGCTTCTGCTCAAATCTTTTGTGTGTTGTGGATATAGATGCGCAACACAAAGTCTGGCATGTTACAAATTATCAACAGAGAGGACAAAGAAAAATGGATAAATCACACCAGTCATTTCTCTCATTGCGCAGTTTATAGTCAAACATTGCTGGTCTTGCTGAAAACTTTCAGAGACCGTCAATGAAACAACCACCTATGTCAAGAACAAGATCAGCCAAATAAAACATTAGCTTTTGTTTCTGATTCTGTTTTGTGTGTTTAGTTTCAGTAAAGAGAAATAAATATATATATGTATCATGTACATGTCTTTTACGTGTCCATGCTTCATTACAAGCCTGGCTTTCCAAAAGGAGCTGGCGGTTTCAGGAAATCCCCACTAACATGTGCCCAGTGAGTCACTGTTAAGGATTACAAGAGAACACTTATCTTTAGCTAAAGTTTTATCTTTCCATCTCATGTGAGCAAATCCATCCAGATGGTGTCTAGATTCTAGAAGAATCACATTCCAAAATTTGGCAGAATCTGCATCTTTAATTCACACTAAGAATTGGTGCAAATTACAGTTACGATCTGTGTATCAGTAAGTATCTACATACAGGCGCAAAGTCACTTATGTCAGGAGCCTAAGAAATTCCAGCATTTGTAGAGAATGATACTCAAGTGAGTAATTTCCACAACCCTTTTTGGAAACAGCTATTCTTAAAAGGTTTGCATTATTTCCATACAATCTGCTATGCCACTACAGGGAACTGAAGACTTGCTCAGTCTGGTCTGGCCTCTGTGAGGTTTGCATATAGCGCAAGTCTCAGCATACATCTGTTGCATGAGTACTTGCAAATACTGGTTTTATTTGAAAAGTGAATATATTGGTATGTGTCTACTAAAATCACCAAAGAATTCTGTGTTGCTTTGTACTGGGTTTGTGTATAAATCCTCCAGATTATGCAATAAACCTGATGTGTTTATATCAGCCTTTTCCTGCACATGACTAACAAAACCTACTTAGAATTATTGCTGTAACTTCAAACTCCAATTGAGCAATATCTCAAGAAAACAATATTGGCAGAGTACTAAGCAGCACACTTCTGTTCAGAAACAGATCTTTGTGGGAACATTTCAGGGGACACTGTGTGCCTACCCACTAAATTCATGGAAACTCATTCTTCAAAAAATGTTATTTTTGTCCTTAAGAAAAGGACTTCTGTGAACCAAATATTTACATTCTCAAGAACATTTAACTGAGTAATTAAGTAGATAGTTACAAGACAAGGTAATTACAAAGATCCTTGGAGAGTATTCTTGTAAGAAGGCTTAAGGAAAGGGATCTGCATCTTTCCTCCTAGATGGGAGGAGAAAGACAAGGAAAGGGACAAATCTCAGTTGAACAAGGAGGACTAGAAGTATAATTGAGACTGAAACTATCAAGAAGTGACAATATACTCTGAAGAACTTGGGGAGTTGCTCAAGAAGAGATCATATCTCAGAGAAGGTAAGTGTGCCCTCAGGCACAGCATTTTTCTAGCTAAGAATTCACATTATGAAGCGTTATTTCTCTGGCACATCACATGAATCTTCACCACAGAGCTTCAGAATGAGACAACTAATTCTAACTCCTCCGCTATATATGAGATAAAGGTAATTACAGCCTTAGCAACACTAAGGCTGTGTTTAACACATCACAGTTACGCAGACAAACACAGCTAGTATGATGATAACGGAACATTCCATGAGCCTCAGCGTCAGTCTTGAAGGGGGGGTTTCCCATTCTTGGGCTGGTCTGAAAATTTTCCCTACCCCAATAAAAGCAGCCATTCCACAATGGAAATGATTTTCTTTCACTGGAATAATTGCACTAGAAACTGCTTGGAAACATAAAACTGCAGAGGAACACCCTCAAACTGTCTTAGAATTCTTCAAACTTAAAGTCCCAAAGCCTTTAAAACCTACCCTGTTCTAGAGAAACAGAACTTGGGGGTAACAGTAACATCCCAAGTCTCTTCATCCTACAGACGATGTCCAAGAAAACCCTGCAATCAAACCACCAACTGGTTCTCTGCTAAGTGGAGTTAAACCAAAATCTCTCCCAATCCCACATCTACAGATGGTTTTAACTTGGACCATGGCAACAAGGCATACTAATCATGCGGTTAAGACTTTCCAGCTCTATGAATAGGAACACCACTGTGCCATTTGGGTTTAAAATACTTTTTTTGCACATAGACAGATCTGGAGTGTGCCTTCACTGAGTTATTGTTCAGCCCTTTATTCCTCAGAGTCATTTTTAACATTTAAGATAACACAAGTGGTGTCTCACTCAGAATCCTACAATGACACTGCAGAATTTGCCAGAGGACTCCCTGTTCACATATGTAAAGTAATGAAGATTCAGATGTCTTCAATTGTTCGCTCTTATTTGAATTAGAAAGGAGCAGCCAAGTAGTTTGCAACCCAGTTTTTGCATAAGCCTCCCCAAGACTGAGTCCTATACCTTTTTTTGTAGATGATGAATTCCAGAGATCTGTCCTTTGTTTCTTCTTCTGATTGCTGTCATCCAGATGAATATGTACCTAAAGGAAAAGAACAGAAGCCTTTCTAGAGATGGCAACAGAAATGAACCAGCAGTCCATCCCTCAAAACAGCTAGCCATATTAAGGATAGTAACATAATTAATGTCAGTTTCATAGTCTTACTAAGGTTGTATTATTTCCCATCTGTCTTCCCTATTTTGTTTCCAGTCTTTCATAACATATGTAACAAGGAGTAAAGAAATACACCACTATTCAACCATCTTGAGTCAGTTTATGGAAGCAGCTTTTCATGGACTGCCCTGAGCAAAGAACCCAATTATTTGGGTATTGTCCACCAGAATAAAACACCCAGACTAGGAAAAAAATATACTGTTGTGTTAGAAAGACTTGCTTCATTTGGCAACAGAAATAGTGTCTTTGACTTAACATGAAAGTTCCCTTTTATCTAAAACAGATCTGCTCCTAAAATTCATTATATCACAGCTCATAGGTCTCAAACTCTAAATCAGTTTAAAGGACTGTTTGGGGGAGGTTCCGTGGCGCTGGTGCACTTGCTTGGTAATAGGCTAAAGAGAAGTTATTGGAAGAACAGATCAATTCTTATATAATACACAGTACCAAGTATCAAAGTTTTCAGTGATTCACATTTGCTGCAGTTTCGTAATTTCATTTTAGAGTTTCTTTAAAAAGAAGCTCCCCTTTTCCTTGGATCCTCAACTAACCATATGGATAGTCTATGGATGCACTAAGCAGAGACGTTAAATGCCAGCAACGAAGGATGTAGAACACAAAGCATCCCATACCTTATAATATTTAGATATCGACTGATGTGGCCTGAAACCTGTTGCACCTTCTGGGGGATCGATGTTGAATACAGTCTGGGAAAGGATGGAATCAAATGGAAAGATTAAACAACTGTTTCCAGCAAAACCCCTAACGTAGCTTTGCACTGAGAAGCATCTCCATAAAAGTTACAGCCAGGATAACCTCAAACAGGTCTCCTTGCTCCTCTTACTAAATAAAGACAGAGAATCTTGAATGAATGTATCTTTACAAGCAATTCCTGCTAAACACGTGGCTTTCTTGTTGCTCCAACAAGCCAGTATCTAAATAGATTCAAACTACACAAATGATGTTATTCATACTCTTCCTGATTTCTGGCTGTGGTTAAACCCAAAGTACACATTCATGAGCTCAGAGTCACAGCTGATTGTAAAAGAACTTTTTGAATGTTTCCGGCATGACACACTACAATAATAATACCCTCCTTAGAAAATAAATAAGTTGTAATCATATCTAGCTGCCCACCTATTAAAAGCTTCCATCAACTCCCCAGTTACACTTCGTCCCCTTTTCTGTACGTGATACCTTATGACTAAGTGTGATGCTCTTACACAAGCACGGCATTCCAGAGCAACGTCGATGAAAACAGCTGTGGTTCTCAGCTATTTGTAACTTCTGATAACGTTTCTAAACAGGATTTCTGCAGACTTTTAAAAGGAATTATCTGAGCTCGGAAGAATATCAAGCGGGTTGCAATATGAAAGTTCTCAACCCGTCAAAACACAAGTATAATTCCTGTTAATATTAACTTCTGAAAAATAGCCAGAGAGAGGGTGTATAAGGATATTTTAATAAGGGTTCTTCTAAAGGAAGAAGAAAATATTAATTTATAACCAGCTTGTTTTCATTACTAAGTCTTGGCCTTTAACCAATTTTAAATTATAAAGATTATCCTTTTCTATTCAATTCCAATTCTAGACAAAGATTCACAATGAAGCTAAGATAGCATGTAAATCCTTAGACAAAAAAGAACAATAATGAACAATTGAAATGAGCAAGAATATTGAGGAAGGAAAAAAAAGAGTTCATTTGCTGCTGCCAAATGCAGAGCTGGACACTCTTCAGATAAAGCGAATTGCTATGTTCTCCCTCATTTTTGCTCTTAAATAGATTTTACTCTCCTCCTGCCTGTGTGCCCATTGTTTTTCACCTTTGACATTCCAGTGCTTCCTGGAAGCACAGATTGCATTTGTGAGCAGCATGTATTCCAGAAGAAATATCTGTGTCAAAGATCTCTGAAAGAGACTGGCAGCTGATCTATTAGGCAGGCTACCAGTGAGTAGAACGAAACCAGAGAACTCTATAACGTGACTGAACATTGCCAGCCAAGACAGACTTTATTTTACAGAAATTCCAGGCTTTAATGCCATGGAATTTTTTGCATCAGTGGCTGAATTATAATTTTTAATTAAAAAAAGAAATAATCATCAAAGACAGAAAAGCAATGATTAACACACATTAAAATGTCATCCTTATTATCACTCACTTACTAAAGACGGAGGGGAAGAGATCTTTTTGATCCAAAAACACCCACAAATATTTGTGAAGGTCTTACTCCACTGTGAGGAACAGGTCTAATTCAATCTGACTCCCAGTAACTGTAACCACCAAATTCTGGGAATACTGAACATAATCCCAAGGGCCAGCATATTTCCCAATATGTGACACTATGGCTGAGATGCTCTTTTGCTTGAACTTTAAACTGTCCAAATATTTCCCATTTTTTCAGTCTCAGTCAAGAATATTAGAGCTTTGGTCAGCTTCAGAGGGAATTTCAGGCCACTGGCCCACTGTACCTTCTAATTTTATGGTGCCCAAGTTTTTCACAATCCTTGTTTTGCAGGTACATACCAGAGAGAGGACTGACAGAACCATGAGGACACCCACAAGTCACCACTAGTTCCTGTGGCACTAAAGATTTTTGTTTTACAGATCCCTTAATTTAATAACCAAATGAATGAAATACATTTAAATTACATTTTGTTTGTTTGGGTTTTTTTTTCTCTTTGGCCAATCCTGTTATTTCATGAGGTCCCATATTCCCCAATATTGCTGCTCAGAAGTGAACAGCTCAATAACCCAGCTCCACCTTGTGGAGGTTAAAACCAGACAAATTTTAATCAAGTTATCTCCAAAAAGGGAGATCAGAACTGTAAAACAACCTGGGTAAAAATCAAAGTAGAACATCCCATTACACAGCAGTTTTCTCCTCAAAACCCCACAAACTTCCATCGCTGCACAAGTGTACATACAGTCAAGAACAAAATGGATCCAACGTCTTTCCATACTTTTTAAACCAACTCTTCCATCCTTCAGGTGCATATAGAAGCAGCATCATTTACCTGGATAATATCCGAGAGCTTATGCAATCCAGACGTATTGACAAATATCCCAGGACCTAGAGAGAATAACACAATTACTTTTACAACACACATCTACATCCATTTGTATATATTCGTCTCTCATCTGAGCAGCACAACACTGAATGCAATGACATGAAAATATTATCTGAAACAAATAAATTATTTCAAGTTTTTCCATCATTATTCAATCAGAAATGTTAAAACTGGCATTCCAAAGGCAGCTTCATTCCTCTGATGCATTGGGAAGCTGTCACCAAGATAATTACATAAACTGAAGACTCTTCTACATTAAAAATGGAAAGCAGATAAAGAAAACAGAAAAGCACGATTAAACTTGTGCTTTCAAAAGCTTGCACAACTAATACTAGTCTCATTAAAAAAGAATAGCAAACTGACTATTTACACAGAGAGCCAAACTAACCTTTGCCATAGCTATAAACAGCCCTTCACAACCACCTCCAAGCTTCTAGTATGAGTGAAGAGTGACTAGAGGAGCACTTAAAAGAACATGCAGCATACACTGATGATGAGAATTGGACCTTGCAGCAAGTCTTAATGAAAAGACACAGGTCCTCAGGGTCAGATTTTAGCTTTGAAAAGCTTTATGATTTAAATCTTAAAGAAGCCTTTCTCCTCCTCTCCCCAGCCAATGCAGAATACCACTTACTTGCACTACAGCCAAAAGTCTGAGTGGAACAACTAACAAATTCACACTTACGGCCTGAAAGATACTGTAAAATCTGCTCCAGTGAATCCAGGAGTGAGGATTTGGTCTGGAATGTTATTTGGGCCTCTGCAAACAGATCAAAGATGTAGCTGCAATGCACAAAGAAAAAGCACAAATGGGAAAACGCTGGAAATAATGGTGGGCACAATTACTGTTACTCTTTTCTGACAACAATTTCACCATCTAATAGCAAATTATGTTCTTGTCTCCATGAGAAAGATGACTTTACAGGAAAAAGAAGTATTTGGTTATAAATAGAGACAATATTGACGTGACAGAAAGCACACTGACCACATCCTGCACATCTTCCATGATTTCTCTACAACACACATTCGTTTAGAAACAATTTGCATTCAATTTCCCTTTCTTTCTTTTTTTTTCTTTTTTTTTTTTTTTTACAACATACAATATGCTTTGGTTTAGAAATAGATTTACAAAGCTCTGACGTACCTCAAACCAAATCACTGCAGCACTGGTACCTCTGTTTAAATCATGATGCAAAACTGAAAGAAGCCCAGTGAGGAGCTTCTTTCAGTTCAGGCTACATGATAGCCATAAACACAGCATTGGATTTTCCACTTCTGAAACATGGAGTTCCATCAGAAATAAGGATTATAACAGAAAGAAGATTTCAGGAAACCCAGAATCTTGAACTGGAATAGTGCTTGCCTATCCTAACAGCTGACCCAGTTTCACCTGGGTCTAGAACCTGCTGTACTTTTAACATGTAGATATATTAATGAGAATTTACCTTCCCTCTTTGGTGACTCCACTATCATTCGGTGGCAGCTCCACTGCATCAATGGTACTTTCGAGCTGAAGGAGAATTTCTTTAAGAGAACCAAAAGAGAAAAAAGTTGGAATTCGCAGAAACTCATTTCTGGGACACATCCAAGCCTCTTTTTCAAATGTACTTTATTACTAAGGCTGTTATCAAAGGCAGCAGCCTAGCTGCTTGATTCTGTAAGCAAAGCAAAACCACTTTCCTAGGTCTCACCTCTAAATATTCATATTCAACTTTAAGAACTTCCATGACCTCAATTCTTAGGTAAGCTAAAGTTATCAGCTAAATGTTAAACTCTTCTCTATAGATAGAGAAAGTTGTTCTTGGAAATGCTTCGTAAGCATGAGACAGCTTGAGCTCTTGCTACTGACTTACGTAGCATCATGTTCTCACAGCAGAATGATGCAATTAATGCAATTGCAGCACACCAACAACATTAGAAACCAAGGGAACTTCTAGCAAAAAAGGAAGCAACTTACTCATCTGCTAAATCACTCATCTGCTTGGGAAAATACTATAATTAAGCATTCCACAAAGGGTCCAGAAAAAAAGAGACAACTTAAGCTTCCATTAATTACCCTGTTACAAGCACTGTCTGCAGAAATGCTACATGAACCCCATTTACCTTCTGAAACTGTTTCAATAACAATTTTCAAGGACACAAAAAATAACCTTACTCTTTATCTTTGCTATATCTTCAAGTTCCATGTTCAGTCCTGTTGAAGAAAGGAAAGATTTAAAAAAGGATGTTACATGTCTCTTTCATTCCCAGTTTCTTTATGTCTTTGCAAAAAGTGTGGATATGAAGGCTAGAACCGTGTGTATGGGAAGACATACTCTGTATTCCGCTCACCATTCTCTCTCGTGACCCCTCATGCCATATTTGTTTGGCCAAACGTTTTCATGTTTGTCTGGCAGTGATAACTAAATAACAATAATCAATGTCCTAGAAGCTCCTAGAATCAATGGTTTGGTTTGGAAGGGACCTTAAAGCTCACCCATTTCCAACCCCTGCCCCGGGCAGGGACACCTTCCACTAGAGCAGGTTGCTCCAAGGCCCTGTGTCCAGCCTGGCCTTGAAAACTGCCAGGGATGGGGCAGCCACAGCTTCTCTGGGCACCCTGTGCCAGCACCTCAGCATCCTCACAGGGAAGATTTTTTTTCCTAATATCTAATCTAAATCTCCCTCTGGCAGGTTAAAGCCATAAGGAAAAGTTATTTTCCAGTTCTTGGTAGTAGCACCCAATAATCGCAGTGAAACAATGGTTTGTGGTTGTCAACACACCTGAACAGGCCAACTCCATATTGAACTCAGCATTTATTTCATTAAAAATTTGGCTTGTTCTTCCAGTACAACATCCACGGCATCTATTGCTGAAGCCAAATCATAGGGTGTCAAGTCAAAAGAAGATGACTCCTCACACAACTTCTCCTAAAATATAAGGAACAGAAGCATTATTTGGACTGCTTAGGGTGCAATGTGCTCAGGCAGCTTCAGAGGTGAAGAAGTCCAGATGACCAAAGTTGATTTCATTTCTGACCCCCAGCTCAGGCCAGAGGACATTTTATGAACACCTAAAGTGCAGCACTTAACAGCTGATGCAGCTGAGCTTCAAGCATGGATCTTCCATGATTTCTTTCACCCTGGAAGAGAACTCTCCAAACAAGAAAAGCAGCACCCTCATAAGGTGCTGAAGGTGGATCTCCACCTTCAGGAAGAAGCTATCACCTTGTAAAAAGTCATGGTAGTGTCAAAGGACTGTTGATTAACCTACAAAGCTTTAACTGTTTGAGAAGTGGCAACAGACCAGAAACAACTTACCACATTGTGAGCTTCATCAAGTATTACCACAGTCCCCTTCAGGTCCAAGTTGTGCGCTCTGCGGCTCTGAAGATGAAAAAGAGAATGAGAGAATGGACAAAGGCCACTTAATCTGATTTTATTTCTTAACTTATTAAACATTTGGTCTTTCTGCCTTTTGTAGCAGTGGAGTGGGATGTAATCTGGCTTTTACACTTCATTAATTACTCCAAGTTGCACAAAGCTGTCAGCAGATATGTTTCCTCAACAGTCTTCAAAGGCTTCATTTCCTATCCATGAAATATGGACAACTTATTGGAACAGCTTTTTTGTCCCCCACAAAGCCAGCAATTATTTCCAAGAGAGATACCCAATCTCTACTGAAAAAGTTCCCTTCTAAAAATCCTGCAGCTGGCTGCAGGAACAAAAACGTCTCAGAATGAATGCAAAGATACTGCGTGGTATGTGACAGAAGATTTGTACCCAGGAGGTGACTACTGCCAAACAACAAGGGCACCCCCTTCTGCAAAGCAAATTCTATAAAACCAGCAAGACCTCGAGGGAAAACTAAAGTATTTCTTAACTGTGGGAAAGAACTTCACAGAGAAACCCACAAAATGTCATCCTCTATGGTTCCGAATTTGAACTGGGGTTTGATTAGAACCCATAATGCGTTCACTGTGCATCAGTTCTTCATAGCTAATCTGCTAAAAGACAAGGTATGGTAAATAGAAATACAACTGCATTTAAAAGCAAAGATATATGTTACCTTTGAGTCTAGCAAATAGTTGTAAGGCATAAAAATAATATCTGCTTGCTGCTTCAGGCTTCGAGAGAGATAATAAGGACAAGCTCTGTTTAAAAAAAGAAGAAGTACAAACTATAAAGTAAGACTTGCAGAAATATCAAAAGTGCATTCAACATTCACGATGTTTCATATGCTCAAGGGTTTTCTAATCATCTTTTTAAGAAGTTGAAGCTGGCTTGTTTTATTTTAGGGCAGGTGGTTATCTCTGTTCACAGAAGCAAATAAAAGTGCAGAAAATAATATCCGTGCAGCTCAACAAAGGAAAGGAAGAATAAATGAAAGAGTGGCATTTCATTACTGCATTTTCATTTCATCTCTTTAGGCTACATGCAGATGCTGCATTAGACTACTTTATCTCAGCAAATCAGTCACCTCAGCCTCTCAGATCAGAAACAGAACTGCACTATCATTTGTCATGTCAGATGATGTTGGTAGCCTGTGCTCAAGTGAGAAATAAAATATTGGTGAGCCTGACTCCGATCTGTATGATGAAAACTGCGGTAACAGAAGTTCGGTGCATACATGATTTTGTTGGAAGCTGTCTCTGCACCATATTTAGCTGCTTCACTTTGCTCTCATCACCATTCTACTACTTCAGTGTTTGTCAAGTTCATACCAAGGTATTAAAGAAAATGAGCAGAGAAATAGTTTTCACTATTTTCAGAAGGGAGGGGGAAGGTCAGGGGATCACTTACCTGTGCTTGTTTCCATTTTTAACCAAGTCTTCGATATCCATGATTGAGTTCATCAGCTCTTTCTCTGTACTCTTTTCTGTGAAAATTGAAGTTACAACCACAAGCTTAGGTAAAGAGATCACAAGATTTGTTGTTTCCCTGATCATCAGAGTCATCCACTTCCGAACGTTTCATTCTTGAAAGACATCAACATGGAGAAAAAACACACACACACACACAGAGGCAACTCCCCCAAACTTCTGTACCTGCCCAGCAAACCTCTCCCTCTCCAAAAATGAGGGCTTTACTTCCACAACCAAACTCACCTTCCACATTGTTATAGAAATGACAAGCACGAGCCATCACTTTTTTTCGGCACATGTAGATCTGTAAAACAACAGTGCATTTTAGCCAAGGTTAGCATGGCCTAAAGCATGTTAAGGAGGGAAGAGCTCTTAGTTTTCTGTTATACCAGTTAATGAATAAATGCTAATCATGGTTCTTAAGTTTAAAATCATGTGGTCTTCTGTCCACCCTAAGAGTAAGGCTCTATGCAACAGGACACTCAGATGCCCAGAGGAAATTCTGTTATATCTTGCCACTAATACTTTTCAAAAGAGTCATCTTAGCATTACACCATCCACCAGGACAAAACCCCTCCACATTCCCACTGTGCATGCTTTAAAAGCTCTGATCTCACCTGCATGTGGTTGCTCTCTTGTCGTTTCACTTCAGGATGGATGCAAAGCTGTTCTCTGGAACCCAAAACACAGATCTTGGGCCTGTTCAAACAAAATGCACAAAACTGAGGTGAAAAGTAAGACAAGAAAGAAGAACAGAGTTGTGCGTGTACAGGCTGGGTAGAATATATCTGTACAAGAAACATGTAAACAAATGATTGCTGCCTGTTCAAAGAGCTCAGACAACGCACTGGCAAGTCACCACCTGAAAACTGAGACATTGGTACACCAAAACCACGCAGTTCTTAATAGATTTATCAGCCTAAGGAATTAGATTTTGTAAAGGCTTCCCACTGCCTTAAAGAAATGCCCTAGGAAACATGAAAGACAAAAGGTAATTTATAACTAAATGTATGGAGGACCAAAACCAGACCAAATTCAGGCAATTCTATGTTTAAAGGAAATAAGAGAAGCTGTGAAAAAAACCAAACCCAACAACAAAGAAATCCAGGTTCTACACATGCACGTTAAGAGAACTGCATTTCACTGGGTATCATTTTTTCATACATGCATCCACATAAACTCAAGCAATAATTAAATCAGATGGGTTTCTCCATCTTTCCTTTGAACGGAAACATTATCCTAAATCATATTTACCTGTAGACTGTGTTCTTTAACTCATTAATGACCTGTGTGAGTTGTGAGTGAGTTCTGGAGGCATAAATTATTTTGGGGATGTCAGTGTAATAAACTGCCAAACAGAGGAGAGAAAAAAAAAAAAGGCAGAAAACCATTATTAACACAGGAAGAAGAACTGGAGATATTATTAGCTTCCCTTCCCAGCTGGTACTATGGTAACAGTTTGCTTGTAGAGACAGCAAGAAATTTTGTCATCTAACTATTCACACAGAAAATGAGGTAAGTGAGTTTCTAATGTTTAAGAAACAATTAAAAATACATGGAACACTTAAAATCTATAAAACTATGAAACTGTGCTTCAGCTGCTAAACAACTGCTCCATGACTTTTACAACGACAGTTATTATAGTCGATAAGTGTTCATTAACATTCCTGTATGGCCCCTGCTGAGGATGAGAATGACAGCACTTACTTGGGATATCAGCATCGGCGTCAGCATTGCCCCAGGACGACAGGGATCTCTCTGGGAAGAGTTCCACCCCATTCAGTTGCTGCGCAATCTTGCGGGCTGAGATGGCATCTTTAAAGTGTTCCCGCCACGCCAGCGTGGAACACAGCAGGCAGAGGGTCTTCCCTGTGCCTGTGGGGCTCTCCAAAATGCCATTTACCTTCTTTGTTGGAGAGAAACAAAAAGGGAACAAATGAGTAACTTGGAGATTTGGGAGCGAGCGGCTGCGTGGTACTTGGTTACCAGCTGGGTTTAAACCACGACATACAGTGATCCGGATGCTGGGATCAAGTGTACCCTGAAGAAGTTTGCAATGACACCAAACTGAGGGGGGAAGAAGACACTTTGGAAGGGAGAGCCACCCTGCACACGACCTGGATGGGCTGGAAGAGTGGGCCAACAGGAACTTCAGGAAGTTCAACAGGGACCAGTGTAAGGTCTTTCACCTGGGTAAGCACAATCCAGGAGTGCAGCACAAGCTGGGAGCTGCCCAGCTGGGAGCAGCTCTGTGGGAAGGGCACAAGCTCAATAGCAGTGAACTGTGTGCAGCTGTGGCCAAGAAAGCCAACAGAATGTGGGGAACATCGACACGGGCATCACCTGCAGAGACGGAGATATCATTATCCCACTCTACTCAGCGCTTGTCAGGCCACACCTGGAATACTGCATTCAGTTTTGGCCCCTGCTATACAAAAGAGATGTGGGAAGGCTGGAGAGGGTAAAGAGAAGGGCCACAAAGATGATCCAAGGACTGGGCAACCATGTGCAGAAGGGCTGAGAGAGCTGGGCTTTTTCAGACTAGAGGAGATAGGCTCATCGGAGACCTTATTCCATGTTCCAGTGTCTAAAAGGTGGATACAAAGACAGAGACTCCCTTTTTACAAGGAGTCCCATGGAAAAGATATGGGATGATGGGCCCAGGTTACTCCTGGGGTGATTCTGGTTGGACACTAGAGGAACTTTTCACACTGAGGCCATCAGCCACTGAAATAATCTCCCCAGGGAAGTGGTGGATTCTCCAAGATTGGACACTTTTAGGATTCAATTGGACGGGGTGCTGGGACATCTAGTCTAGGTCCTGGTTTGCCTAGAAACGTTGGACTAGATGGTCCCTGACGTGCCTGCCAACCTGGGATTCTAGGATTCTGTGACTCTTTGAAAGCCCAGAGAGCAAAGCACAAGCTGTGTGAGCAAAGGGCTGCTTGCTTTGCTTCTCTTCCCTTTCCCAATGAGGCAGAAATATCCTATCTACACTTCCACTGACTGCCACCTGCACACGCCTGGGGCTGGGTAACTAGAGAGGAAAGTAAAACTAGAGGTGAAAGAAGGTCAGAGCCGATCTGGAAGCAGCGGTGTATGGACAGAGGGAAAGCAAATTGTGGCAACCCCTTTTTAGAGAGGTCACTTGTTATGGTTAGCGATGGAACAGTGGGAGCAACGGAACCGTACAGCCGCCAGGCAAGGCGGCACTCACCTTCTGCAGGCACTCCAGCACCTTGGCCATGTACGCCTCCTGGCAGGCATAGGGCTGGAAGGGGAAGTCCACCGTGATGCCGTTCAGCGTTACCCTGGGCATGCTGAGCACCTGCGAGGAAGCGGAGCCCGCGGCTCACCCTGCGCCGGGACGGGCGGCACCGCGGGGGCGCGTAGAGC